TTTTTTTTTTTTTTTTTTTTTTTTTTTTTTGTTTCAATTTGTAATTTTTCATATTTTTTTGGTTACGGATTTTTTTTTTCCCCTTTAATTTGCTCTTCCCTCTCACATTCGTGGATGCAATGTCGTTTGCTCTGTGTCGGCTGTGCCGCTCACCGTGTCAAGGGAGGGAATGCAATTGTTGGCACACATTGGATGCGCGGGGGATGGTACACAAATTCACAAACAATACACATGGACAGGGTCTGGATTCTGTCATGCATGCGACGAGTACTGTGACGCACTTTGTTTGACAAATCACGTTCACATTCACACACACGCACACACACACACACACACACACACACACACACACACACACACACACACACTTCAACTTCCCCACGGACTCGGCTGCGGAGCACCATGCACACGAGCATGGTGACACACGTGCGTCACCAAGCTGTTTCTGATATCCTTCCCCAAATCGCTCCCGTACGTCGGATCGTTTTCCTGATCGGGTGCCTGGGGAACCTCATCACTGACGGCCACACGGCGGCGCCGACGTGGCCTGCTGTCCGCGTCCGACAGGTCGTCGTCGTTGTCGTCCGACAGGTCGTCGTCGCTGTCGTCCGACAAGTCGTCAGGGTCGATGACGACTCGATGGTCGACCATGATATTGTGGAGAATGCAAATCGCCATAAAGTCCTTGCACAAGGTCTTCATGTTGCAGATTTGTTGCCGTATGAAGTGCCTCCACACCGCCTTCAGCCTCCCGAATGTGCCCTCGATACAAGACCTAGCAGATGTGTGGCAGTCGTTATACATCCTCTGCTGCTCCGTCCTCGTGCCTCGCCAACCAGGGATCATTATCCATGGGAGCAGCGGATACCCCGCATCGCCAAGCAAGTAGCGGCCAACAGTCCTCTCGTCTCTCAACACGACGGATCCTGTACCGAATAAACCCCTGCCTTCGCGCGCCATAGCGTACAGGGGAGACAGTCGAAGCGCGCGAGAGTCGTGTAGCGACCCGGGACATCCCACGTAAACGCTGGAGATGTGGCATTCGTTGTCGCACACGACCTGCGCTTGGACAGAGAATTGTCCAGTGCGGTCGTAGTAGCATTCGGCCCTCTCCCCGCTTGGCTTCTTAACGTAGATATGGGTGCCGTCAATAGCACCCACACAGCCAGGGAACCCCTTCCGCTCGAAGCCGTCCAGTACTTCCTGCAGCCTCCTTCCCGCCGCCCATCCAATCGCGCGCACGTGCGGACAGCTGAAGCAGCCTGGATCACGGCCATGGCTGCGGCATTCCTCCTGTTCAACCACTGCATGAGGATGAACACCAACGCCAAGAGTGCCCCATCCCCATCGTCCGAGGTGGAATACGACGTCCGGGAATCCATCACACGTCACTGTCAACACTTTCTCCCCTGCACGTCAGTGCCTTGTATGTCTGATGTGCTTGCTTCGATGCCAATGAACAGGGAAAGGGAGATTGCTTCTTTCGCTGTCGATGGAGAAATTCTACCACTACATCTCTTTCACGAACAGCAGCAATGCCACGAACAGGGCAGACGGTACGCAGTGTTTGGATACACGTGACATAAAAATACGTTTCGAATGACTACCTCGAAGGTCACCCCCCCCCCAACCCAGACACCCCCYCCCATCGGCACGAGCCGTTGGCGTCCACGCACCTCCCACACAAGGACCAACGGCACACTCCACGTACGCATGGTCACACCGTTCACACAGGTGCCACAAGCCGCCACCCACACCTCCGGTGCTACTCGCGGGCGCCCATACGACAGGGCCCCAACGGCCGATGTCGACCATCGGCACGAACCGTTGGCGTCCAGGCACCTCCCACACAAGGACCAACGGTACACTTCAGGTACGCATGGTCACACCGTTCACACAGGTGCCACACGCCGCCACCCACACCTCCCAAGTCGGACATCGCAGTCGCGCATACCACCCCAATGGACTTCGCTGGTCCACGATGACGGCACGACCTTGGAAAATTCTGGAAGAAATCGCTTTTCCAGGCCTTTTCCAGCCGCTTTGGTGGGGTCCCGTCTTTTCATCCGCGGAATCTTCCAAGTGCACTTTCCACGATTTCCAAAATCACGCACTTTTCGAAGGTTTTTCCAGTGGGGTCCAGCCCTAAGGCAAGGACCCCACAGGACCGCGGAAAGGAAAAACTTTGCTGCAAAGCTGTTTCCAGGACCCCACAGCCTGCCGCAAATGTCCTGGAAAAGGTGAAATTTCTTCCGCAAACCCTTTTCCAGGACCCCACCGGCCGAAGATTGCGGCTAGGATAAACATCAATATGTGTCTTCACATAGTCCGCGGCGTGGAAAAGTCTCACGGGAGGATTCCTCGCCGCAATTTTGTGCCGACTGTAGAGGGTAGGTGGGAGGGCATGTGGTTCCTGGAAAAGTCTCGGAAAAGGCAGCAGCCAATAGAGATGAAGAGTGCCACAAAAAAAAAAAAAAAAAAAAAAGGAAAAACGAATAAAACAGACGAGTGCCAACGGAAACAGGCAACGATTGGCTCAACTGATTTCCAAAGGGTTTTCCAAGCGCATTTGGCCCTCTGCGATGGGGTCCCGGAAAAAGTACTGTCCGACTTTCCAAAATGACTTGCCCGCTTTTCGTGGGCAAACCACTTTTCCATCCGCAAAGCTGTGGGGTCCTTGCCTAACACAAAGACCGAGACCTGCCAGTAGCTGTGCCTCCCTTCCTAGATAGTCTTAGGAGTAGGTAGTGGAAGGTAAAGAAACATAAGTAAAGAAGAATATAGAAACAATAAAAGGAAAAAAAAAAAGATGCAGTTTGCAATTGCTGTTCGGGCAGTGTATACAATCCTCCTTTCTGGCAAGGTGGGTTGCCCTAAGTGCAATTGATAACTGTATCTTTTTTTCTTTTTTTTTTAAGGCCTTATTCTTTTTTAAAAAATAGCCAGAAATTGGGTCTGGTGTCCCTTACAAGATGCAACCTTTACGGCATGATCCAGGCACTCAGGCCAGGTTCATGCCCCATGCCCCCGTCGTGGTCACTGCCCCATCGTGCAATTATAACGCGCTTTTTTTTTTTTTTTTTTTTTTTTTTTTTTTTTTTTAAAAAAAATTTTTTTTTTTTTTTTTTTTTTTTTTTTTTTTTTTTTTTTTTTTTTTTAAGTTTCACAAAATACACGACAGGTTGGGGGGCAGGGAAGACAAGAAAAAGCCTCCTACGAGGGAACATGCGGGAGCTGCACCCACCAGCAGGTGCGACACCTGCTACAGCAGGTGGGCGATACCGGCCAGGGGTCAGCCGGTAGCATCAGGACCGAGCTTCTTCGATGGGCCAGTCACTGTGGGCGATACCGGCCAGGGGTCAGCCGGTAGCATCAGGACCGAGCTTCTTCGATGGGCCAGTCACTGTGCCTCCCCTCCGGTCCCCTTCCCCTATGAGCATCAGCAGTCTCTGCTCAATGCCACTCAGGGGGACCAACGGCATTATCTCTAGGTGGCGGGCGCCAAGCTTGCCCAGGAAGGTACATGAGGCCAATGTCAATGGGGATTGAACCCAAGACCTCCTGAATGCCACTTGCGTGCCTTACCAACTGAGCTAGGCCAATGTGGCTGCTATGGGGTTCCCCATAATACTATAATGACAATAAAAAAGGCCTGTCCAGATTCGACAGGTCATTGAATTGGTTGGGCCTTCAAAAAAAAAAAAAAGACAAAAAAAAGGCACCGAATGAAAAAGTGCACAAATCACGAACATGATGGCGGCGCATCTTTCCATGTTCTAGGGAAGATTCATTTCCATTTTGTACATTTGGTGAGTAGTGCAGCAAGGCCCATTGTCATTTACCTACGCAGTGCTCGCCCTATAAAACGGTTGTTTCCGCATCTTTCCAGTTATCCAGCTTCAAGGGCATCTGACAGGTTGCAGATCTGACGTTTTGCCAGGTGGACTGGTTGGCCAAGTATTTCCTCAAAACTGTTTTAAAGATGGTGCAATAAGTCAGACCACCATAGTGCTCCAGAAAAAAAGACATCTGCACCATGTTGTTGTTGCTGTTGGATTTTTTTTTTTTTTTTTTTTTTTTTTTTTTTTTTTTAATTCAGACATTTTTTGCATATAGTTGTGGGATCTTCACCATGTTTTCTGTTTGAAACCCTAGTAAGGGGTAGAGTTGTCATCATAGCAGAGACCAATCTGGTAGGTGGAGCCCGAAGAAGTAGTATATTATTATCACGGGTTCTCCGAGGTACGAAGATCTCTTTCAGAAAATTTCTCCAAATACACAGCCGTGGAGCACAAGCCTAGGAAATAGAGACATCCCTGGCCGGCTGGGCGGAAGGGCAGGTGGTTAAGGGGGCGATAGCGGTAGGGAAGAGGGAGCAGTTGGGGGGGAGAGGGGAGGGCGAGGCGCGTGGGGAGACTTGCAGATCTTGCGGGAGGGGGGCCCTGGATCAATCAGTAGGAAGTCGGAGACTGTCCAGCTATATCTGGACACACCACAGGTAGTGGGACGATCGAGGGAGCGGATAGGAATGGCCAGGGGAATAGTCTGGCTCCAACGAAGCGGCGCAGCGCAGCCGGGAGCGCTGCGCCCCGCCCGCGCAGTCAGACCGAGCAGTGGCGAGTGGCGACTTGCGGCGGAGCAGCGCAATGGTGAACCGAGCAGCGGCGAGCAGCGATTTGCGGCAGAGCAGCACGATGGTGAATCAAGTGGCGCTGGACGGCAACAAGCGGCGGTGCGGTCCGGTGCTGGGGGGAGTGGATTCGGGGTGGTGTGAGGTGGTGGTGGAGAAGTTTTGGGGTGAAGGGATGATGATGGGAAGGATGGCGATAAGGGTGATGCATCGTGCGGAGAGGATGAGGCTACTACGAAGAGGCTGCTTGTGAAGGGCTGCGAAGGGTATGGGCTGCCAGCATAATCATCAGAGCTACGAAGGGCGGGGTGTCACGTTTTTAACGAAAGAGGTAGGCTGTTCCCCCCCGGACTACCAGTGAGGGGTCACCGGCAGGATCGGTGGTTTTGTCTTGCTACGTGGCAAGTAAGGGGTAAGTGAAGCCACGGTGGTTTTGTCTTGCTACGTGGCAAGTAAGGGGTACGTGAAGCCACGGTCCGTTACTCCTTATTGTTCAGTCCTTTTCTTGATGGCCGAGAGAGTGGCCATGTGATGGCTGAGCTGCCTTCGGGCCGATAAGGGAGGGGGTGAAGGTTTGGGGGAGACAGACACATCATGATGAGAGGTCGGTTTATATGTTTTGATACTATGTAGCACGGCATACCTGGCCGGATAATCTGGTCGGATTATCTGGCCGGATTATCGGGGGCTCGGATTATCCGAAAATCCGGATGATTAAAAAAATGGCCAAAAAAAAAAAAAAAAAAGTAATATTGCGCATGCAAAATACAATAGAACTATGTTCCTATTTCATAAAAAGCTTGATAAGTCATGGAAGGGTTGAAAGGGGGTAAGATAGGGAATGAAGGGGTTTAGAGGGGGGATGCTTGATTCGTTTTATAATTTTTTATCCAAATATTATTTTCTTTTTCTGTTTTATATTTTTATCTTTTTATCTGTTGAGATATCAACAATGGCCACAAGCCAAAAGTTGTTCGTATCATTGATGTGAACAACATACTTTTTTCCAGAATTTTTTGAATTTTTTTTTTTCTTCGGTAAAAAGAAATGTTTTGCACAGGGCCGGATTTTTCCATATCTGGAATTAATCCGGAATTTTCATCCGGATTGAAAATTCTGGATAAAATGGCCTGCCGGATATCCGGATTTTCTACATAGTTTTGATCCATATTTTTGCTCTTCGTGGCTTGAGTGACCTCCATATTTTTTTTCTGATCTCGCTATTTTGGACGTAGCTTCAAGATAGTAACCCGATTTCGATTTTCAGATGATTGTAAATCTGTTTTTTCTAATCTCTGGTTTTCGATTTTAATTTTTTTTGGACTTTTCTATTTGATTTTCTCATGACAGGTGGCTTTAGGTTTTCAATTTTAATTGATCCAAGAACTGCGGACTCATAAATGAATTCAAAATTTTGAATTCTCTGAATAATTCCCGATTTGTTCCTATCATATTGATGATCGTAAATGAGTTTTGCCTTTGATCTCGAATAATTTTTTCTAATCTTTTAGATTCTCAATGAACTAATGAAAAATAATCTACAAACCTGATCCAAGACAGTGGGATCATAAATGATCTCCAAAATTTATGGATAACTCTCGATTTGTTCCTTTCATATTGACGATCGTAAATGAGAGCCTCGTCTCTGATTTTGAATAGTGATCTCTAATTTTTTAGAATTTCAATGGTCTCGTAATTATGTTGAATCTTGTTGTTTCTTTTCCCGAAATTTGTTCCTGATAACCAATTACCAAAAGTAGGATTCTGAAGGATTTTCTATTCAAAAAATCAAGGGGGGGAAGCTAGAATTGGAGGATGGAAGGTAGTAAAGGGTTCTCAACAGAGGAAGGTTGTCATTTAGGGTAAGTAGGTTAGAAGGACGATGCTGGGACGACACAGGCCGGTGCTGGAGCTTGTGCTCTGTGACCCAGGGGGAGCTTGAGGCCTGCTAAGTTATACCGAACGCATAACCAGACCGTCCGGCGTTGGTCGGCGTCGGGGTATTGTCCCTGTAACCTTTTTAGGGGCTTACCGCAAAGGGAATTGTCGAGGGAGGAAGGCACTTCCTGTCCGTCCGAACTAGGTTCGTCGGTACTGGGGAGGGTTGTGGTGCCCTATTACCCTAGCAGACGGGGGTATGAGATCAAGTGAGTTCTGGTACAAGGACAGAAAGCCTGGACTGACACTCCTTATGTTGAGGGGGGAATTTAGGATAGTAGGCAGTTTTAGTTTTGCCCCCCCCGCTCTCATAAATCTCATGACAGAAAGCTCAATAAGAGTTGGTTGTTCGGTGGTCTTGGAATGTTTTTAGGACTTTGGGATTCCTACTAACTCGTCCTAAGGTGGCTTCGACGCTGTTATACTCAGTGATCTGCGGTTGTTCGATGCCAGAACGACGTTGACCGGTGCTGGGGAGTTGCCTTGTAACATGCAATGCAGGAGCGTGAGGCCTGGTAGAGAGATATGGGGATGCCTTGGGGTGGGCATTCCATGGGACATCCAAGGGTTGCTGCCGGGATGACGCTGGTCAGAGTTGGGGTGAGTTGTGTTGCCTTGTAACCCAGCAGGATGTGGGGGTGCGAGGCCTGGAAGAGCTCGGCAGGGAGTAAGACAGTTTTGGAGGACTTTGGAAGGGGTTGCGAGGGATTTCGACATTTTCGGAACATTTGCAGAACCTCTGTGGCCTAAAAAAAAAAAAAGAGTGGGAGAGGAGACGGTGGGATATCACGCGTCCTACTAGGATGGAAATAGGGTACAGCAGCAGCGAAGATGGTGGCTCTGCTGCAGTAGGTCCTGCCGGAGTGGGGTATAAGGGATCGATTGGTATATGAGTTTGTTTTCTGAATTGTGCATATGTTTTTGTTTCTTAGCAAAAATAGAGAATGCTTTAGGATTCTGGGGACTTCTAGCAACTCGCTTTAGGCTGTTCAATACTGGTACATTCATGGATCTGCGGTTGTTCGATGTCAGAACGACACTGGCCGGGGCTGGGGTGTTGCACTGTAACCTGCTGATTGCAAGAGCGTGAGGCCTGGTAGAGAGATCTGGGGATGCTTTGGAGGGGCATTACAAGGGACAACCAAGGGATGCTGTTGGGACGACGCTCGCCGGAGCTGGGGCGAGTCGTGTTGCTGTGTAACCTAGCCGGGTGGGGGTGTGAGGCCTGGGAGAGCTCGACAGGGAATAAGACAGTGTTGGACAGTTTTAAAGAGTTTTGTTTGGGAGTCTAGGGGTTCTAAGCATTCGACCTCTCCTTTAATTCTCTTGAGCTTCTTAAAAAAAAAAAGAGAAGATGGTGGGTTATCACGCGTCCTACCAGTGAGGGGGCTAGCTGGTAGGATGGGAGCATGGTATAGTAGTTGCAGTGATGGTGGTGGCTCCACTGCAGTCATTCTTGCCGGAGAGAGGTAAAGTGGATTGATGGGGGTTCTTCTGAGCCGTTTCTGAATTCTCCTTAATCATAAAGTTGTTGTAGACATGTCCGAAATAACTCCAATTTCTCTAAGCCAAAGCTGGGTAATGGCCCCGGTATCTCAATTTTCAAAATTCCATCCTTAGACCAATTAGATTTTTCTAGTAGGTTCCTAGTCTCATTTTCATGAAATTTTCTGATGAGTTTTCTGAACGTACTCGTTATGGGACGCTGGGCCCGGTTCCCAGTTTGTGCCAATTTTAAAAAAATAACAAGATGACCCGCCACGGCTGCGCCCGAGGCGAGAGGAGCAGAGAGTGTGAGAGGCGGGGAAGAGCAGCCAGTTTGAAAAATTAAAAATAAAATGAAATCTCTCTTTCTGTCATGCAGGATTTCATGAGGATTCGCCCACGGCGAGAGGAACATAGAATGTGAGAGGCGGGGAAAAGGGAGGAGATGTGAAAGATATGCAATATCTCACGAGCATGGCAAAAAACAAAGGGCAACCAGTTCGGGAAAAAAGAAAAGAAAAAAAACGAAATGTCTGTTTCTCTCATACAAGATCTCATGAGGATGAAAAAAAAAAAAAAAAGAGAGAAAAAAACAATCTTTGTCTCTCTCCTCTGCAAAAARAAAAAAAAAAAAAAGTCTTTGAATCTTCCCTTCTCCGTTTTTTTTTGGCCATGTAGCTCCCGCGAGCTGAATCGAGTGTGCACGGAAGAAAACAAAATCAGCAGCCCTCCTCCATTGATGTCTTCCTCCCGATCCCGATCCTCTAACCTCCACACTTCTCCTTTTCCCCATCCCCACGTTCATCGCTCATTCCGATCTATCTCCCTCTCTGCCTCCCTCCCCCTCCCGATCCCGACACTCTAATGTCCTCTCTCCACTGCCTCTCCCCTTTCCCCATCCCGATCTCCCTCTCCCCATCCCTCCTTATCCTGACGTCCCGATCTCCCTCTCCCCGTCCCTCCCTATCCTGACGTTTCCCTCACGTTTTCCCATCTCTCTCTTCTCAACAAATCAGACGTGCAAAAAAAAAAAAAAGAAAAAAAAAAAACCCTCCCTATCCCGACGCCGCCTCTTATTTCGACGTTCGGCCTGCTTTTCCCCATCCCTCTCTTTGCCCCTCCCAATCCCGATCCTCTAACCTCCACACTTCCCCTTTTCCCCATCCCCACGTTCATCGCTCATTCCGATCTATCTCCCTCTCTGCCTCCCTCCCCCTCCCAATCCCGACACTCTAATGTCCTCTCTCCACCGCCTCTCCCATTTCCCCGTCCCTCCCTATCCTGATGTCTCCCTCACATCTTCCCATCTCTCTCATCTCAACAAATCAGACGTGCGAAAAGAAAAAAAAAGAAAATATTAAAAACCCCTCCCTATCCCAACGTCTTTCTTCCCAATTTTGTTGCCGCCACTTATTTCGACGTTCGGCCTGCTTCCCCATCCCTCTCTTTGCCCCTCCCGATCCTGATCCTCCAACCTCCACACTTCCCCTTTTCCCCGTCCCCACGTTCATCGCTCATTCCGATTTATCTCCCTCTCTGCCTCCCTCCCCCTCCCAATCCCGACACTCTAATGTCCTCTCTCCACTGCCTCTCCTCTTTCCCCGTCCCTCCCTATCTTGACGTCTCCCTCACATCTTCCCATCTCTCTCACGATGACAAAAAAAAAAACAAAAAAAAAAACAGTTCGGCATCCGTATTCCGACGTCTCCCCCTCCCTCTCCCCCTCCCCCGCTTATCGCGACGGCCTCCCTCTCTCTCTCTCTCTCTCTCTCTCTCTCTCTCTCTCTCTCTCTCTCTCTCTCTCTCTCTCTCTCTCTTACACACACACACACGCACACATACACACACAAAAAAAAAAAAAGAAGGAAAAAAAAAAGTGTATATTTTCATGCTCTAGCGGCCCTCTCCCCCTCCCTCCCTATCCTGATGTCTCTCCATCCCTTTTTGTATCGTGACATGTCGACGTGTCCTCATCCTTCTCCCCTTTCCACCTCTCCCCCGACATCTGCACTTCCCCCTCCCGATACCGATCCTATAACCTTCTCCCTCCCCACCCCTATGTCAACATCGCACAAAAAAAAAAAAAAAAAAAAAAAAAAACCTCCTTATCCCGTTCGATGTTCGACATCCCTATCCCGAAGCCTCCCCATCCCTCTCCGCCTCCCCTCCTTATCACGACGGCCTCCCTATCCCGACGTCGTTGCCCCTCCTCGCTATCCCAATGTGCGACGACATCCGGACGTGCAACCCCCTCCCCCTCGTTCGACCTTTCTATCCCGACTCCGTTGCCCCTTCTCGTTCTCCCTGTCCCGATGTGCGATTGCATCCCGACATGGGACCCCATCCCGATCTCCCTCTCCCCCTCCCTCCCTCATTCCGGTTTCCCTCTTCCCCTCCCTCCCTATCCCGACGTCCCGTCGTTCCCTATCCCGATGTCCCGTTATTCCCCCTTCCTCCTCCCTCCTTCAACTCGAAACGGTCCGCCAGCTTCAAGCGATATCCGAAATTGCCGAATCTACGATGGCTTTCTCTTATGGTCACCAGAAACAGTGGCAACGAACACCAGCGCTGCGCGACGGGCCGAAAGCGACGTGCGGAAGTTCTCTCTCTCTCTCTCTCTCTCTCTCTCTCTCTCTCTCTCTCTCTCTCTCTCTCTCTCTCTCTCTCTCTCTCTCTCTCTCTCTCTCACTCACACTATCACTCTCTCTTGGGTTTCGCTGAGCAGCGATGGTCACCAGAAACGGTGACGACGAACACCAGCGTTGCGCAATGGGACGAAAGCGAACATCAGCGAAAGCATTCAACTGCCCGACGTGCAAAGTATAAAAAAAAAAAAAAAATGAACTTCTACACGACGCGATAGAACCTTCGCGATCCGACAGGGCCGCCAAGGGTGGGATAGAACCGCAGGATTGGCCGACGTGCGGAAAAACAAAAAGAGGAACTTCTACACGGCGCAATAGAACCTTCGCAATCCGATAGCGCCGCCACCGTCGAATCGCGGATCTCAACAACGGTGAGACCGTCGAATCGCGGATCTCAACAACGGTGGGATAGAGCCGAAGGACCCGCCAACCCTGAGTCGTTCCCCGTTAGGCCCAAGGCCAACATTGGCTGCGAGGTCTCGCGGGAGCGTGACGCGAGACCCGCTATTCATTTAAAGATAGTAAGGGATAGTAAAAAAAAAAGTCTGGGGGAGAATAGGGGGTAGGGAATGACCAGAGCCTAGCATACAATAGGAATGGCCAGGGAATAGTCCCAGTTTGTG